GAGGCTGCACACATTTTTGTTGCTGTTCAGGCATCTGTCCTCCGCTTCCTGGCACTGGCAGGCACTGCCCTGGTACCCAGGATTGCACTTGCATGTCCCGCAGTCACATCGCCCACGTTCTGCAGGGGAAGACCTTTCAGATCCCACAGATTCCACCCTCCCCCTGCCTGTGCTTGGAGAGCATAACCCACCCTGCACTTGCCACGCCACCCTCTGCGAGATGCTCAACGAGGTCATACAACTGGCTAGTGTGGTGGGACCCAGCAGCCCCAAACCCACCCAACTCTGTTTTCAGCATGGAAACGCAGCAGCAACCTTGGCATTTAATTCCTCTAAGAAGGGCCTGGTTGTAGAAACCATCCCGCAGGTGTATCACCTGTGCCACCACACTGGGAGCCGTTGTAGAACTCGCAGTTCATGTTGTCGCACTGGCAGTAGGGGCCGTAGATCAGCTTGCCGGGCACGTCGCTGGTGTGGCAGACACACTGCCCACACACGCAGTCCCCCAGCCCTGAGCAGATGACTGAGCTGTTGTCCTTGCGGCAGGTCCCCTCCAGCTCCTTGCTGGTTTTGCCTTTGGTGTCACACTCGCAGTTCTTCCCCGTGTAGCCTGGATTGCAGCTGCCATCAGAGGAGAGGAGCGAGCCCTGGTCAGTGGCTGCATGAAACACCGTGGGGCCCAGACCTCAGCCAGTCTGGGACAGCCTCACCCAAAAGCTATGACAGTGTGTTGGGGCTAACTCCACACTGGAGCAGAGTGGCTGATTGGGAAGAAACCTCAGAAATGCTGCTTTTCCCCCAGGTGCATTCACAACACCAAAGGGTTGCCTGGAAATTGTTATATTTATAATTTTCAAACGCCTGCCAAGGAGATTTGAGTATTTCCTGAGGAAACCCAAACTTTTCCTCTCTCTGCCACCAAGGGGCCATGAAGCAATAATTACACTTAGAGACCTGTGTGAGCTGCAGCCCAGATTGGGATTTTGAGAGATTTCCATGGAAATCGGTCTGTTCAGGGGGTGAGTTGGTGGATGGTTGGATATTGGGATGGATGGGTAGGTAGTTGAGTGGATGGATGCCCTTAGGGAAGTACCATAGACTCTACCAACAGAAGAGCATCTCCCCTGTGAAGACTGGCTAAGGAAGTTGGGGCTGTTCAGCCTGGAGAAGACTGTGGAGACCTCAGAGCAACTTTTTATCATCTGATGGGCCTACAAGGGAGCTGGAGAGGGACTGTGTTTTAGGAACTGCAATGATAGGACAAGGGGTAATGGGTTCAAACTGAAGGAGGGAAAGTCTAGGTTGGATGTGAGAAAAGTTTTTTACTCTAAGGGTGGTGAGACACTGGCACAGGTTGCCCAGGGACATGGTGGCTGCCCTGACCCTGGTGGTGTTCAAGGTCAGGCTGGATGAGGCCTTGAGCAACCTGATCTAGTGAGGAGGTGTCCCTGCCCAGGGCAGGAGGGGTTGGGACCAGATGATCTGTAAGGTCCATTCCAACCCCTAAATTCTAGGATTCTGTGAAGAGAGAGATCACTGTGAGTGAGCTATGTGAATGCCTCCATGAACACAGGGGACAGTTCCAAGGGGAGTGCATGAATTCACTTCTCTGACTAAGATAATCTGTGCAAAGCTGCAGAACCCAGGCCCTGGCTTGGCCCAAGATCCCTCTCCCAGCAGCTCCCCAGCTCTGGCAGCATTTGAAATAGTATTTTGGGTTGACAGCACATACCTGCAGATCCCACAGACGATGCTGCCTTGCCCACTGCAGTCGGCTGGGTCAGGCTGCTCGTTGCAGTGGCAGTTGCAGTTGCTGTCCACGTAGACAGTGAGGGTGTCTGTGAAGCCCAGTGGCCGGATGGTGAAGGATTGGCTTTTGATGCATTCTTTGGCTGTGACCTTCACTTTGAAGGTGACCTAGAAAGTGCAGAATGAGACAGGGAAGGGCCACAGGCCATCACATACCTTCAGCTATTGGAAGGTGGTATTGGTCCCAGGCTGAGAGCATGCACACCCAGAGCAATGGAGGATGCCCTCATCCCATGGGATTTTGGACACTTTTGACATTAGATTAAACAGAAAGCCTGAAACAGCAGCCTGGGTTCCTGTTGTTGAACAGGATGGGCAATAGGAACCGTGCAAGCCATGGGGCATTACTATCATGGGAGAACATACCTCATCATTGATCTTGACATTGTCGCACTGGCCTCTTGCTTCATCCACAGCGTTCTTGTCATTACTGCATTTGGAGTCATATTTGACATCCAGAACATCTGGCAGGGGGGAATGGGCCAGGATGATCTGTGAGGACAGGTTCTGTGGGAAAATGGTGGAGAAAGTGCCATCATCCAAGAAGAGATCAGAGCAAAAGGGGTGTGGGGTTTCAGGTCAGGGTTTCCCTCCAGCCCAGGGAAAAGGGGCAGGAAGCATCTTAGGCTGGGATCTCAGCTGCCTGAGGTAGTTCTGGAAATGCAGGTGATAGCATTGGAGAGGTGGGAACTCCAGCACTTACATTGTAGGCCACCTGGATGAGTTCAATGATGTTGCTGGAGTCTTCGTTCAGCTCTCCCACTGCCGACTTTGGGATCATCTCACTGAGTTTCTGCCAATGGAGAGCAAAGAGGTGACCACTGCCTGCCATGTGACAGTGGAGCAGGGGACAGCAGCAGTAAGATGCATGCAGCTGTGCCTATCTTTCCAGAAAGGGAATGGAGGCACCTGGACCATCGGAAGTATTCTTACCTTGTAAACATCCACCACCTTACTGGTGACGGCAAAAATGGGCTGAATGTTGTTTTCAGCAAGTTTCTGGACCAGCTGGCCAACAGATGGGTAGTCCTAGATGGGGAGAGGGATACCACACTCAGCATGATCTCCCCCACCAGCAGGAGGGTGGACAGTTTGGGTGGGGCAGCCAAATTACAGTGATTGTGGGGATGTTTTTGTCTCTGCAACAGGTTTTTTATGTGACCTTTTTTCTGCCTGGGGGGAGTGAGGCTGATAGTGTGGAGATGCTGAGCAGCCCCTGGGTACTTACGAACTCATTGCTCCTTTTGTACATGTTGTCCTCCAAGTGGCACTGGCCATCGTTGGGGGTCAGGATGCCCCCAAGCCTGCCATCGCCGGCAAAGTGGAAGCCGTCATCGGTAGCAAACACCAGCAAGCGAGTCACATTGCGCCAGCCAATCAGGTCCTGCAAGTGGCACAGAGAGTGGCCCATGTCCGTGAGTGGGGAGGGCTGGGAGGACAGTGCCAGTGGGCATGGTGTGGTCCTTGCCAAGGTCCCATGTCAGCCATAGCATGGGGCAGGGGACATGGGGAAGGTGGATTACAGGAAACCAGGGTCAGGAGGCTCTGGGATAAGATGCTCTCTTGGGGCTGTTCAGCCTGGAGAAGACTGTGTGGAGACCTCAGAGCAACTTCTCAATATCTGAAGGGAGTACAAGGGAGCTGGAGAGGGATTCTTTGATAGGATAAGGGGTAATGGGTTCACACTGGAGGAGGGAAAGTCTAGGTTGGATGTGAGAAAAGTTTTTTACTCGAAGGGTGGTGAGACTGGCACAGATTGCCCAGGGACGTGGTGGCTGCCCTGACCCTGGTAGTGTTCAAGACCAGGCTGGATGAAGCCTTGAGCAACCTGATCTAGTGAGGAGGTGTCCCTGCCCATGACAGGAGGGATTGGGACTAGATGATGTGTAAGGTCCATTCCAACCCCTAAATTCTATGATTCTATCCCTACCTGCCCTGCTGCCATATCAGAACTTACACACAATGGGCTTACAGAGTCCACCTGGAGAGGGGCAGAGTCACCCCCTGAGAGACAATCCGCACACATGGGCCGCAGCCCTCACACCTGAGCACAGCTGTTGGCAGCAGGGCAGCCACAGAGACTCACCCCACACACTGCTGCCTGCATCATAGCATCCAGGCCCCCCTCCGGCGCGTCCAGGTTCCCTGAGATGAACTGCTTCCCCACTTCATTCTCAAATTTCTTGGCGTTGTCAGTCAGCGAGAGGATGTGCTTGAAGGCGAAGGGAGGCTGGCACTGCTTGTCCTTGTTGGGGCAGGGGTTCTGCAGCTTCTCGGGGTGTGTGTTCACAAAGGGCAGCACCGTCTTGTCCACAAAGGAGCCAAACCCTAGGGCAGCCAGACTGCAGTGTCAGGGGCAGGGCACAGGGCATGGACAACCTGCTGGCCCCAGTGGGTGTGCCCATGCCCCTTGCCCTAGCGCACTCTCCAGCCCACTGGAGGACACGTGCTGCCCACTGCCTGCATCCCCCTCCAGCCCTGAGGCTCTTCCCAGCAGCAAACAGCTGTGCTAGGGTGCTGTGCCAGGGACAGGCTCACCAATGCGTCGAGAAGGGGTGGTGCTCTCCAGTGCCCTGAGCAGCTCCCCTCCCAGCTTCTTCACCTTCTCTAGGTCATCCAGCATGGAGTAGGAGAGGTCCATGAGGTAGTATAGATCAATGGGATACCCCATGGCACGGCGAAACTTCACCTCGAATACAGCAGGCTGGCCTGCAGGACAGGGATGCCAGGGTCAGCTGCCATGCTGTGTCATGCTGTGCCATCACCCACCCGTCCTCTCTTTTGGAGGAAAAGGGGTGGAAATGCAGGCTGAAACATGCTGCCATGTCCCAGCTGAGTCTGGGAGCCAGTGGAAGTGTTGGCAACACCAGGCTGACCACAAGTGCAAGGGTGTTGGGAATGGCAGGCAGAGCATACCTATCCTCAGTTTCAGGTGCACCTCCTGGGGATTCAGCTGTATCTCATTGCTTAAGGGATGGTTCTGTGTATTTTTGATGTGATTGACTGGAAATTCAATCTCACTGCGTGGGCATCCCCTCTGCTCCAGTTGCTCAATGGTGTCGCAACGGCTGGAGTCTGGCTCACCAGCTTTTGTAAAATTCTTTGTGTGGCAACATCAGTGGGAAAAAAAATAAATCAGATGAGCAGGAAGTGAACAGGCACATTACAAGATGACCCAGCCCCCAAACCAGGTCTCCAGGGTATTGATGGAGAAAGAAAAATCTTTGATGAATATTGATGGATAAAGTCACATCTTGTCAGATCCCTTCTGGCCCCATCCACCACGCAGGACATGAAACACTTCCACAATACGGTTAGGCAGAGCCAGGTGAGCAGGATGCCTGTCCTGTTGCCTGTTAGCTGACTATTAGGGGGTGACATCTTGACAGGCTCTATAGACCTACCAGTTTCTTGCACCAGGCACAGACAGGACCAGACCGGATGCAGTCACTGCATGTCCCAACCTTTATCTTGGGGCACTCCATGGCAAAGGCTGAAACGGAGAGAAGACAGAGTTGGCATGGGGGGCACTTGGGGGAGGCTGCTCTGTAGCACCAGCAGCCACAGGTGCTTGGACATCCAGCACTGGGCAGCCATGCTGTCCTGAGCCTACCCTGCCTATAAAACCCAAAACAGCGGCCCTGTCAGGGTCCTCACCTGCCTTGCTATCCCTCAGTTGGGCTGGCTCCAGTTAACTCCAGATCCCAGGAAGTGCAGGATCTGGCCCTTGCACACCTCTCAATGCCATGCCCCTACTGCTGTTGGCAGCGTTTAGGTTCCCCCCTCTATTTCACTGCCCGTGTAAGGTGCCGGGAGGAAGGCAGGGCGGGCTCACCTGTCATCACCAGCAGCAGCACCCAGGTCACTGCTGGCAGCCGGAGGCAGCAGTCACGCAGCATTTTCTGCAAGACAAAAAGCATTGCTGTGATCCCATGGGATGTGCCCCAGGGATGGGGCAGCCACAGCTTCTCTGGGCAACCTGTACCAGTGCCTCACCACCCTGACAGTAAAGAATTTCTTTGTAAGATCCAATCCAAACCTACTCTCTTGTCAGGTTAAATCCATTTCTTCTTGTCCTATTACTACATGCCCTTGTAAAAAGTTCCTCTCCAGATCTCTTGTAGGTAGCTTTCAGGTACTGGAAGGCCCCAATAACGTTACCCCACTATAAGGTTACTCTTCTCTCTGTATAACTATATCTATCTAACAGTGGAAAATCTCATGCACTGCATCTAGGTTTTACTACACATGATTTTTTCAGCTTCCATGTTGAGCCATATTTGGATGGGAATTGGAATCAAAATTAACAATAAGACCATTTCTATTAATTAAATAGTGTGGTGTGCTTGATACACAGAAAACCAAAAAGGCAGTGTTCAAGGCCAGGCTGGACGAGGCCTTGAGCATCCTGGTCTGGTGGGAGGTGTCCCTGCCCAGGGCAGGGGGTTGGGACTAGAGGGTCTGTAAGGCCCGTTCCAGTCCATAAAATTCTATGATTCTACTTGCTTTACATTTAACTGATTCATCAAGAAAATGGAGTGTTTCATGTTGTGAATGTGCTGAGGGTTTCTAACAAGTGAGGGTCTCCAACATGATCACTCTGCAGTTCTGCCTCCTAGGGGAGCAGAGAGACTGGTTCACACTGTGTGGTGCAGTCCAGTCTGCTGGTGCGGCAACCCCAGGCTGCTCTTGCTCAATGTGCAGGGCAAGGAGGAAGCATGGGGTGTTGGAGTCAGACCCACGTGGGGAGAGGGGCTGGGACATGATACTATGGGTGGGGGCTCTGACTGTGTGGCTGCAGAGGTGAACATTTTTCACCAGTAAGCAGGGAAGGACTCCCAGCACATCCTGGTGTGACTTTTGGGGGGTCCTGTGAACAGTCAGGAACTGGACTCGATGATCTTTGTAGGTTCCTTCCAACTCTGGATATTGTGTGATTCTATCATCCAAACCCACCAACCACTCACTGTCCTCAGTGACATCAGCATTTCAGAGCATGATAGAGCTCATCTTCACAAGCATGTTCTCATGAGCTGCTCACACTACTCACTTCTTGCCTCAAAGAATACTTCCTGAGCCCAGAAATTTAGGCTATACATAAAGCTGGCTATCAGGGAGAGATTTTTCAGTGCTCTTTGAATCATAGAATCAACCAGGTTGGAAGAGACCTCCAAGATCATCAAGTCCAACCCTACTGTGGTCACTAGACCATGGGCACTAAGTGCCACATCCAGTCTCATCTTCAAAACCTCCAGGGACGGTGAATCCAACACCTCCCTGGGCAGCCCATTCCAATGCCTGATCACTCTCTCCATAAAAAAATCTCTTCCTAATATCCAGCCTAACCCTCCCCTGGCAGAGCTTGAGTCTGTGCCCTCTTGTCCTCCTGCTGGTTGCCTGGGAGAAGAGACCAACCCCCACCTGACTCCAACCTCCTTTCAGGGAGTTGGAGAGGGTGATCAGGTCTCCCCTGAGCCTCCTCTTCTCCAGGCTAAACAATCCCATCTCCCTCAGCCTCTCCTCACAGGACTTGTGCTTGAGTCCCTTCACCAGCCTCGTTGCTCTTCTCTGGACTCTTCCTGTGTCGTCACTGAGATCACATTCATTAGCACTGTCATTTCTCATCATGCCTTCCCCCAGCACAAGGGGAGCAAACCCTGACACTATAGTGGGCTTGCAACATAGATGCACATGGGGAAGTCAGAAAAGAGGAATTTGTTAAAGAAAGAAAAAGGAATAAGAAAGCATGAAGGAATAACAAACATTGCCCTTTTCATCAGTATTAGACACAGTGTCTGAAAACCAGGTCATCAGTTACAAAATAACTCTGCTGCTGCCCTGAGCAAGAAAAGAACCACTCCTTGGCTCCGGCCATCTCCCCCTCCGTGAAGCTGCCAAATG